ACTGTATGGTGCCGGCCCTGGAGGGGCATGGCGTGCGATGCACCGTCATCGCGGACACCCCGTGGGTGTGTGGGTGTAGTACCAGCCCTAGTGAGGGCTTGGTGAGCGCTGGGATAGCGCTCAGTGGCACCACGCGTGGCAGGCAGTGCTGACTCCTACAGGAGGGAGTGGGAGAGTGTCAGCCCAGGCACAGGGTTACCCTGGGCCATGGCACTCTGGTTGACCCCGAAGGCACGTGACCGGTAAAGTCTACAGGGGGGCCCCCAAGTGGGGGCTAAGGGGTGGTCACGTGTCCGGGAAAGTTGTCTCAAGAAGAGTCGAGAGAGAGAGAGGCAGAGCTCTCTCGAAGGTGGGCGTGGCCAAGGGCGGAGCCAGCCCCGGCCCGGGAGCATATGAGCGGGGTCCCCGGCAGGGACTGGGGTTCTGCGTTGCTACCGTCATCTGAAGGTCTACGGTCTACGTCCAGTCCGTTGTAGCTAACTCCCAGTGTGTTAGTGCAGTTGGCCGGGTGGTCCACCACCCTAGGCTGTTATCGGGTAAAGGGGAAGCTACCCCTTTATGTATGTAATAAATGTGTTGCCTCTAAGAAGTACGTCTGTGACTCAGTTGGGCCCACTACTCATTGTTAGATGCGTTTAGTACTCATACATAATCTCGCGATGCGCAATGATACACAACCATGAGTGGGGATTCAGGACAAATATTTACAGATTTACTGATGATAATAATAAAGTACATGCATAAAACACAACTCCTAATAGATACACAAGGCGCTGTACATGACAGATAAATAAATAACGTGTTGGCAAAAGGGAGAGCAAACTTAAGAAGTAGAGGAGCTAATTGTGAGAACCTAAAGCAAAGAGAGAATAGAATTGCGTCTCCATCTGGGCTTCCAAACACCGCCATTGACAACCCTGGGGCAAGGTACTCGTTCCTGGGGTAATGTGGTAGTTCCTGGGGCAAGGTATTCATTCCTGGGGCAAGGTGCTCGTTCCTGGGGCAAGGTGCTTGTTGCTGGGGCAATGTGCTAGTTCCTGGGGCAATGTGCTAGTTCCTGGGGCAATGTGCTAGTTCCTGGGGCAATGTGCTAGTTCCTGGGGCAATGTGCTAGTTTCTGGGGCAAGGTGCTAGTTCCTGGGGCAATTTGCTAGTTCCTGGTGCGATGTGCTAGTTCCTGGGGCGATGTAATAGTTCCTGGGGCGATGTGCTAGTTCCTGGGGCAATGTGCTGGGGCAATGTGCTAGTTCCTGGGGCAATGTGCTAGTTCTTGGGGCAAGGTGCTAGTTCCTGGGACAAGGTGCTAGTTCCTGGGCAATGTGCTAGTTCCTGGGGCAATGTGCTAGTTCCTGGGGCAATGTGCTAGTTCCTGGGGCAACGTGCTAGTTCCTGGGGCAAGGTGCTAGTTCCTGGGGCAATGTGCTAGTTCCTGAGGCAATGTGCTAGTTCCTGGGACAAGGTGCTAGTTCCTGGGACAAGGTGCTAGTTCCTGGGCAATGTGCTAGTTCCTGGGGCAATGTGCTAGTTCCTGGGGCAATGTGCTAGTTCCTGGGGTAAGGTGCTAGTTCCTGGGGCAATGTGCTAGTTCCTGGGGAAATGTGCTAGTTCCTGGGGCAAGGTGCTCGTTCCTGGAGCAAGGTGCTAGTTCTTGGGGCAATGTGCTAGTTCCTGGGGCAGTGTGCTAGATCCTGGGGCAATGTGCTAGTTCCTGGGCCAAGGTGCTAGTTCCTGGGGCAATGTGCTAGTTCCTTGGGCAAGGTGCTAGTTTCTGGGGCAATGTGCTAGTTCCTGGGGCAATGTGCTAGTTCCTGGGGCAATGTGCTAGTTCCTGGGGCAACGTGCTAGTTCCTGGGGCAATGTGCTAGTTCCTGCGGCAATGTGCTAGTTCCTGGGGCAAGGTGCTCGTTCCTGTGGCAATGTACTAGTTCCTGGGGCAATGTGCTAGTTCCTGGGGCAATATGCCAGTTCCTGGGGCAATGTGATAGTTCCTGGGGCAATGTGCTAGTTCCTGGGGCAATGTGCTAGTTCCTGGGGCAATATGCTAGTTCCTGGGGCAATGTGCTAGTTCCTGGGGCAATGTGCTAGTTCCTGGGGCAATGTGCTAGTTCCTGGGGCAATGTGCTAGTTCCTGGGGCAATGTGCTAGTTCCTGGGGCAAGGTGCTCGTTCCTGGGGCAAGGTGCTCGTTCCTGGGGCAATGTGCTAGTTCCTGGGGCAATGTGCTAGTTCCTGGGGCAATGTGCTAGTTCCTGGGGCAAGGTGCTCGTTCCTGGGGCAATGTGCTAGTTCCTGGGGCAATGTGCTAGTTCCTGGGGCAATGTGCTAGTTCCTGGGGCAATGTGCTAGTTCCTGGGGCAATGTGCTAGTTCCTGGGGCAATGTGCTAGTTCCTGGGGCAATGTGCTAGTTCCTGGGGCAATGTGCTAGTTCCTGGGGCAATGTGCTAGTTCCTGGGGCAATGTGCTAGTTCCTGGGGCAAGGTGCTCGTTCCTGGGGCAAGGTGCTAGTTCCACAGCCGGGGAGCATTGCAAGGGAGAAGACTCGTGAGGCACCCGGTGTGCGGAGGAGCCGCGTCCAGGCAATGCTCCACTGGCACCGCTGGCCAACGAAGAGACGAACGAAGCCTTCGGGATGGTCACAGATACTGGGGTCAGCAAATCTGATGAGATTCAGAAAGTCCAAGCTGGTAACACGTTTGCTGCTGTAACAACATTTGCTGTTGGAAAACATTGGTGTGGAAAGCCTATAGGTCACTGGAACTGAGAAAAAAATCAGTTTATTTAATGTGCTAATACTTGTTTACATTAGACACACACCGCATATATATACCTGCAGCAGGTAGGACTCACCCAGTGTGGCATTTGAAAGCTCAAATACACACACTGCGATCATTTATATTATCAGGACTGAAGATCATTATCATGCACTTTTAATTAGCGCCCTTTGTTCATGAGAAAATAACGATTGCAACCGTTTTGCCAGCTGAGCGGAACAGCGTGGGGCTAGCACGTGATAAAGGTCAATTATTGTTGTCGTCGGCGGCTGTGAGCGCTATTTAACTACGAGGGCTGCACTGGATGAAAATCCTTCACTGGAATGGTCGCTGTTCATGATGTTATAACTCACTAGAGCAGTGTTCTTCAATGCAAGGCCTGCAAGCCACTAGCGGCCAATGGTGGCCCCGTGATGTGCGGTCCCCGACCATGCACAACATGTAAAAATAACCCCCATCATCATCATCATCGTGCTGCTGTCAAACCCAATGGTTTCAAACCTGTGGCGACCCTCACATTGCACGTTCTTTCGGGGAAAGTGGCCTCCCCTCTGAAAATTAGTGACGAACAACTCCTGCGGTAGAGTTTCCTACACGCGCGCGTGCACGGTGTGGCATTGTACAAAATGCGCATTGAGCACACAAGATAACTTGTGGCCAAAGCTGGAATAAATGTGCTGGAGTGTATTCACACTAACAGTGAATGTTATCGGTTTCTTCTCATCCAAGTCTCACGAAACAAATGGAGTTATCTCAGTTAGCCTGGAAGGCAACTGAACTTAAACTTTGGTTGGAGTGTTTTTTTTTTCCCTTCACAATGAGATATGGCCAATTGATTCTTGGGTAGGGCAGTGGTACAGCGTTGAGCACACTGCTTTATAAACCCAGTAGGCCTGGGTTGAATTCCTGACCACGGCTAGCATCGGTGGTGAGCGAGATCAGAACTGTTCTAGGCCTCTGCTCACCAAGACTTGACCTACACCCACTTATCAGCATGGTTCAGTCGAGTCATACAATCCCCATGTCCAACATGGTATTGGAAGGCCTTCATCCAGCAGTGGATTGACAAGATGCTATATATTATTTTATTAATAGTATTTAAATGATTTGTTTAGAGTTTATACTGTATATACATAAGTGAACATTTGATGCCCAACAAAACTAACTTTCACACAATAGTAAACTTGACAGATCCCAGTAATAGGTTTTTACCCTTTTAGCTGGCACAAAAACTGACACCTTTATACAATGGATCATGTTTGCAATAACCAGATCCCGTCGACATATCGCGATGTTTAAATATGTAAGAAGGGCACTGTTTAAAGTGACGTTTTAAATGTTGCACAGCAGCAGTTCCTTCCTGCTGCTCTTCAAAACATCCACTGGCATTGCAGAACGAGAGTTACACCGTGATTATTGTGAATTGATAAAAGCATAAACACAAGCCAGACCACCCACCCTGAGCTACATTTAATGACCAATAATGGAGGTGGTCAGGTAGCTCGGAGGTCAGAGCAATGGGACAGCATCACTAAGATCCTGGGTTGGAAATCAGGTTTCAGTCGCCCATGGTTTATTCAGGGTTTTTATTTTGTGGGTTCGAGCGCGTAAATATGAATGTGTCGTTAAACCCGCAATCACCCCGACACAGCCAATTAGTAAGATTTGTCACGTAAACAACACATTTTACATAAACAAAACGTCTATATGACAAACCTTACAAATTGACTGTGTCGGGTGGTGGCGGGTTTAACGACACATTTATATTTAGGTGATCTAACCCAAAATAATTATTTTATTTAATATTGATCGTGAAAGCCGACATGTTAAACTGATCAAATCAGGTTCTCCAGTGTAATAAGGTTTCTAGGCTTACTCTGGTCACCAATCACTGCACAAGATGGAATCAAATTAAATTAGGTTCAAATATAATTTATCAAAATTTCAGCTGTGAAAAAAAAAATATATAGATTTGACTTCCACGTGACAAACAGGGCATATGGGAAAGAGCAGCACCACCTCGCGTGTGGCGAAAACGAAACTTTTTTTATTTACCAGGTACAACTAACCGAGCTATTGTCAAAGGTGACCTGGCCACACATGACAGTTCAGCTAAGTGGCTTATATCAGCATCATCATAATCAAATGTGGAAATTTATAGAAACAGCCAAATAATCCAAGTACCTGTTTCTAAATGTGGAGTGAAAAACCGGAGAAAAATCCACGCAACTACATGGAGAACATGAAAACTCCAAATATACTGTACAGGCATTGTCAGGGTCCGGGTCGAACCCACGGCCTCCTGCATAGCAGGCGATGGAGGTAATAATTTACATTTGTAAGGCGCAATTCATCCAGGGGTCTCAGTGTGCCAGATAACATATCACATCTCGCCACCGCTTGATGGGCTCTCATTTGCGAATCTCCTTCTGCATGCCGTTCTCTCGCACACGGGGGCGGTGCCCTGCTCTGCGAGAGTTTCAGAAGCAGGGGACATGACACCGATAACGCAAGTGGGGGGGGAGGGGGGGGAGAAACTAAACAACTTGGGAGAAAACGATCATAATTTTTTTAAATCAGGAAATCCACTCAATTGTTTATAGGAGGACGAACAGGAGTCTCATCACAGCGGCATCTTCAGCCGTCAAGAAGAAGAAGAAGAAGCAGCTCACGAGTCACATTGCAGTGGCCCCATGATTTCCCTGGCCACGGTCGTAGTTGGCGGTGTTCACACCATTGCTGGCCGCCTCTTCCTCCAGGTAGCCCCTTTTCATTACGGCCGCAATGTAGCGGAAGAGACACTGCCAAGGACCACATGGAGGCACACGCACACACAGACATAATTCATACCATCCTCAAAGACAATAACTGCAACACCTGACTGTAAATCTGACATCATCTCGTTCGAAACCAATCCCCCTGTTTAATAAGTGGCCGCAAAATGGGATTTCTCGTAGCCTGTGGATTTTGACAATGTTAAAAAAACAGATTCACTTGTCTAAATCCCTTTCCACGGAAATCCAATTGGAAACAGTCTCCTCGGTGTAAGGCTGTCATGAGCAACGTGAAACACTCTCAACCCCAAGCTTTCGGGGGGAATATCCTGCTAGGATTGGAAAACTGGATCATAAAACAAATCTCACGTCACTTTATATATAAATCCTTATTCTCTGGGGTGCTTATACAAATTAAAGGCCAAATACGCTTGTTGTTGTTGTTGGTCTGGGATTTGCGGGTTCAAATCAGGCCTCATCCCTGTTAGTTCCTGCTCCCACGACATTACGGCAGCACAGGACGGTGTTGTCCACTGTTAAAGCTTAATGCTGCCTATATAATCAGAATTTGTATTTAAACTGCAGAAATTCGATGAGCTGTGAAGCTCTTTTTCATAGATGTCCAGTCAGGACACCATTGACGGAAATTAATTAACTGGCTTCTTCATGGACGTTCACAACATCGTAGCACGATGTATATTTCAGCCAAATAATTCCCATGGTGATACCGGGCATCTAACATGCGAAATATCAGGATAACCTAAATGTAATCAAGATATTTATTTTGGTTCATGGGAGAAATCTTTTAGGCTTTGTTTACTTGCACAAAAAAGACAAAGATCCTACGTTTAGCATTAATGACCACAGGGGAAGTTGATGTACATGAGTGCCTATTCAAGGCCCTTGTGGAACAGTTGTGCGTGGCTAGCAACGTGCCCAGCTAGCATTATCTCCACAATGTTGATGTTTGCACATCACGCCAGGCACACATTTTATGTTTGGTTGACATAAGGGAAGGTCAAAGACAGGTTCAGCTATTGATTGTTACTGATATTAGCCATGGTTAGTAATTGAACCCAGGTTACCAATTCTCCCCACTTTCTTACCCACACACTTATTTTCCCAACTATATTCCAATTGTTCTCTCGGCATCATCTCATGCGACCAGGTATCCATTTGTAACTCTCACAGAGCAGTGCAACCTCATTAATTACATAATGGCCCACAGAATGACATTTCATAGAACTGTTGTATATGTGGGTGTTATGAAAATATATGTATAAGCGAATTTCTTGTTAATATTAATTTTGGAAAAAGGCGCATATCCAACAGAACTGCTTCTGAAATCCCTTCAAGTGACCTTTTTCTGCACAAACACGAGAGGTGCCACTTTCCCACATTCCCTGCTCCGGAGAAAAGCTCATCATAGCATGTAAACCAATATTTTTAAATCTCGGAGCTGGAAAAAAACAAAATTTATTGCAAAAAAAAACCCGATTTAATGGGATATTTTGTTTTCCTATGTTCTTTAGTGACCAAGCGGAGTCAATTTTTTGTTTGGTTATCACAATCGGCTGCCCAGACTCGAGCCGAGGATCTCAGCAGTGTTTGACCCAGTGGTCTGACCCCTGAGTCAGCCAAGCTACCTTCACAGCCACACACACTTCTCTTGATCAGCAGGTGGGCAAAAAACAGCCTTACCTGCCAGGCATCTTCTACCTCATTAGTCCACTTCTCCTGCAAGAAGGGTTGAACTGTAGCGATGAACTCGATGCCCACAAACTGCAAGGGACATCACAATGAGTCATAGGCACGGCAGACTGCCAAGCGCACGCAACTGTGGATGTTGCAGTCCTTCCTTGGAACGTGTATAACTTTAATTCACCCATCAGAAATACTTGAGTAATTCTTTTATAGCAGGAATCATCAAAAGGTGTCCCTGGCCACCTTTTCAATTCTGTCCCTGCAGTCCAATTTGGGCAGTTATTGTGTGCTGTGAAGTGCACTTCGGGAAACAAATAATTGGGGAAAACAGCTCTAGTTGTTTGACAACATCACAAATAGATAATAATAATAATAATAGCAAAATGCCTCACTGACATCCCGAAGTCTGTGGCATGGATGTTTGATTTTGACGCATGCAATCATGGACTCCTTCAAGGCATTCAACATTTGAATGTATTATGTTTCGATTTAAAGCTTTCGTGACTGCAAGGATTCATCTTCTTTGGTTCTTTCGGTAAGATCACGTAGAATGAGAATAAAATAACAATAAAATTCTCACGACATTTCGGCCACACAACCTTAAGATCATTCAACAGACTCCGGGACAAGAAAGCTCAACTAATCGAGTCTCTCACCTTTCTGAAGAGATGCCGCGACTCTAAGGTCTGTACCTTTCACCTGAAGACGGCCGCTTGCGTTGTGGCCGAAACGTCGTGAGAATTTTATTGTGTTATTTTATTATTTTATTCTCATTCTACGTGACCTTACCGAAAGAACCAAAGAAGATGTATTATGTTGGCAGCAATTTTTTTTACGTTTTTGCTTCAACAAATCTTCGACAGACTGCACCACAAAACGCCGCTGCCAGTGAGTTTTCTCCAAACCTTGTGTTTCAGTCAAATCAGACGTGACGTGCGAATTGCGTCGCGTAAGGTGACACTGCTGTAAAACGAACAAACACCAGTCGTCAATAATGGTGTCTTTTTATGTGCTGTGAAGAAGGGCCATCGCTTGAAACGTTGCGCGTTATATATATTTTTTCTTTTTAAGGCCACAGTGTTATTGACAAACAAGTTTTTGATATTTTTCACCTGTGCACAACGGCCAATGCAGTTCCAGCAGTTCCAGTTGGTTTAAACTTTGCTATGAAACGGCGCTGTGAGCCTGGATGTACATGAAAGATACACCACGAAAAATAATTGGCCCCCTTTTAGGCAATCTGCTTTGGTGCATATGAACATTTTAACGAAACGTAACGACATTTTGTACTGTTTTTGGTTTCTATGTTTCATCTTAATGCGTTGCCTTCATGACTAATATTTGCAATGCCTAAATATAGCAAATTTCTTTCCTTGTGTTGCTCAATTTATTTTTGTTAAATTGTATTAATGTTTACGTGTAAGTGACGTATTGCTGCTATTTCCAGGACCCTCTTGCAAATTAGATGCAAATCTCAAGGTTTTTTTTTCCGGTTGAATATAATACATCACTGTTTTTGAATATTTATCGCAAGTGTATGTGCCTTTTTGTAATCCTACTGCTGAATGTGAGCCTCCCCATGCTGTGAGTGGTTGTCATTTGACCATACTTCACCACGCTGGTCAGTGCGGGTTGGTGAATGCGGAGAGCATAGACGATCAAGCACAGTACAGTGTAACAATGGATTTTTCTGGACTGCCCTCTGCTGACAAAATAGCCTAACTGCGGCCTATAACTCCATGTTTTGCGTATGGCAATTGCCCATATGAGTACTATCCAGGCAAAAATCCTGCTTAGCTTCTGAGATCCGATTAGGTCGAGTGCTCTCTGGGTAATTTGGTTATCGATATAAATATTGTGTGCCAGCGATACATTTACAAAGGACGCCAACGGATGTGATTGCTTTTGTATAATTTGCCAAGAAAAAACATAGGGCGTTAGGTTTTGAATTCGCGTCAGGATTCACCTACAACGCACAGCGACTTTGCTGCTGCGGGATGAATGAGTTCCGTACCGAGTAGTATTTTGGGGATGCATTGTACTTGTAGTGTTTCCTGCCCATCTCCACGATCAGCTGCTCCAACACGCACTCCTGCTCCAGCCGAGCCACGCTTTTCTCGATAAACGACATCACCCTGGAGATACAACGTTTAAAAGCATCAATGATGTTTTGCCGTTGAAAATGAAATTGTTACTTTGTACACACACCCATTTATGTTTCCCAGTGCATGTAGAGATGTGCAGAATGATAGCAAGTTTTACAAGCCTTTGTCAATGCACTTCTAGATGAAGGTCTCACCATATTTCATCACACAGGTAAATGCTTATTGGTAAAGGAGGGCCGATAACTTTTTTAGATACCACTCACCGTTGAACCTGCCTATAGCCAGGAATCAAAGTCAAAAACAGGCTTCATGTATGTGTGTAATTCTAATGCGCGTGTGGTTGCACATAAATTAGACATGCAACAATTTACATGCCCAACTAGTCGATGATTATCTTGATTGCAGGGTCATGATTTTATTCAAGACCATATTTGTTTTTGTGTTATTTTTGCCAACTCATTCCCGCCATTTCTTGTTCGTCTTATTCCATTTGTATATTCATATTCACTGTATCCTGAATGCAACTTTGGGATATCATACGGATATTGTCACCATAATCAATCGTGGTCTATTCACTGCTTGATACAGGCAAATCCAAAAATATCTCAATTGATCTTGCGACGCAACAATCCATCCCAACCTTTGGCTGCCACTCCATCATCAGTCTCGACTACCTGCCACCATCCATTGAGCGACGCATCCTGCCCGAAGTCCACTCACATTTCACAACAGTCCACGTGATGTCTCTAATTTGCACTACGTTCTCTAATCCACGCCATTCTCCCTTCGTGTCTCTCATTGCAATTCAAAGCATGTGCCCTTTCCATGCTGCTTTGTGCACCTTTTTCAGATTTTTTCCCCCTTTTTTTGTCATAGCAGGTTACATTTGCATGTCATTTTCCTAAGTAATAAGTAATACGTTTTCACGCACAATTCAACGCGTGTGTCGTGTGAGTGTAAGGATTAAAATGAATCGATTAATCAATGGCTTCATTACACGGCTAATAAATTGGCCGTTAAAAATGCTCATCTGGCAACAGCATTATTATGGATCCTAAATTGACAAAAGTAGCCAACGAGATGCTTTAAAAAAAGGTTCTCGCGTGCACATTTACTGTACATGAGTCAGCGTGTGTTAAAGTCCGTGGTGATTAGAGCTGCCACTTCCATTGAACGTATTTATTGATTGTGCATTTATTTCCCACCACAGCTTCCCCAGCAGTAATTTGTAACAGCACAAATGAGAAATGTCCTTTCTCTGAAGTGAAAATGCTGAGAAGCACCAATCAGGTTGGGTAAAGTCACGTAGGTAAAAAATAAAATAACAAAAATCACGACGTTTCGACCACAACACAAGTGGCCTTCTTGTGGTCGAAACGTCGTGATTTTTGTTATTTTATTTTTCACCTACGTGACTTTACCCAATAGAACCAAAGAGTATGGATCCTAGCAGTCACGAAAGCTTTAAATCTAGAACCAATCAGATTGTTCTTTGGTAAGCGGAAGATGGCAATGGCGACCAATAGAATGTTAGGAGACGTTTCACTTTATCAGGGTTTTTGCAATGGGCAAGTTAATTTCAACCGGCCCAATAGAGAGCACAGCCTGAAATCTGGCTGCACAATATGCTTGAGGGAAATGCTACTCGGTGTTCTCGTTCGTCCTCTGCGAGATAGGAAGTCTCAAGATACCTCCTCTGTCTGACCATGAACCTTCCTTATTAATTTCGCTGTACGGGGCAATCGGCATATTTCACCCTTCGCTTATTACACTAAATATGCTGATTCTGCAAATGTTTATCTTATGTTGGGAACATTAATCACGTGGCAAGTGCTTCCTTGGCTAGACCAATAAGTATCTAATTGACTTTCCCCAAAGTTAATAACAATGGCAATTGTCCTTCATGAATAATTGTATTAAGGTATGTTCATAAGATGCTACATTGGTGTAATGGTTGGCACACTAATGCAAAGGTCGCTGATTCAAGTATTTTTAAAAACTTTATTTATTTAAAACAAATTTTAGCAGCATAGGTCCATTGAGCTATATAGCTGTTTTTCATAAGCGACCTGGCCACAAATGAAAGCTCCTCGAGTGGGAATTTATAGCAGCCAAATAATCTGAACGCATGTTTCTAAATGTGGAAGGAAAAACGTGAGGACCCGGAGAAAAATCCACACGACCACGGAGAAAACATGCACTTCAAATATACAGGCATCAGGTTCGGGATCGAACCCACGACCTCCTTCATACCAGGCGAGATAGTTAACATCTCATCACGGCGGCACCCCACGTCTCGTGGTGCGGCAATTGAAGTAATGGGGCAAGTTTCTCAAATCTTTCCTGCCTCTGTCCACCCAGCAGTTATGAATGGGCGTGCCATTGTTAGTCAATCTGCAAGATTGTGTGTGGTGGGGTAAAGTGCGGGTGCTCCCACCTATTCTTAGGTGTCTGGCCAGCATAGAAAACTTGGCCAAAATACCCTCAACGAGATGCCCTCCCGCCAGACGTGTCATGAGAAAGACATTGCTGGGTAGCTACCTTTACACAGACATATGAAGAGCGATGGCAGTCCTTCGTGGCTACTTACATTTGTTCATGTTCTGGCAGAAGCGGGAGGTTCGCATGACTTATACCTTCGAATAAATGTTTTGCAAACATTGCGGAACATCTGAGAATACCTTTACTATTTAATATTGGTGACCCTGGAATAGAGCGTAAGGTCGTGTGCACAGTCATGAGGCGATAATGCATTTCGTTTGGACACCAAAGAAGATGGTGTTTGCCTTCATCAGAATAAACATCAAGGTGAGCAAAGGGGCGAATGTAAATTTCACGACCAAGCCGTTCTCAAATTTCATTTAAATTCAATTATAAGTAGGATTTCCAAATTTTCCACTGACGGGAATTAGCAAGGAAACCCGTGTGAAATCATAATTGATACTTTTATGTGTGTAACTAAGATAATCAATGGAGTTGTCTATGTCATCAGATGTATTGTACCCGTCAATGGGATAAATGTTTATAACAAATGTAAAATAAACTGCCCACACAATCTCAATCAACACCCAATAGAGAAATGGACCATTACATTGACAAATGACACGTGACAGTCACGGATAGGGTGCACACTTTACTGCCTTCTGACAGAGGTCGTTTGTCAATGTGATATAAACAGCATTCACTCTGCACCAAGCTCCAACGCCTTACACTTCAGACGGTGATTCGTACGTAAATAAATAAAGAGAAATTACTTGGCTCACGAAACTAGGCAATTTAATACGTGGCCTTTAATAAGCATTAAATATTAATGAATTATTCAAAGGCGAAAACAAAGGTGCAATTAATGTGGTGTATGTATGAAGGGTGTTGAACATGAAAAAAAAAACGGGTGAAAAAAACAGTCCAGGACGTTCTGTAAAAAATACTGAACGTACGCAAACGCAATTAATCCGTGCGTTTTACCTAAGTCTTTCCTAATTTCTGATCAAATGTTTTGCAAGAAAGCGGTGCCGCAAGCACTTTGCCGTACCTCAGCCCATGTGCCTGCAGTTGCTTGTTCATCTTCAGTTTCTGGAGGTCCTCGCAATCGCGGAACTGATAAAACACATCCTTGCATTCTGGATGGGTTTCGAACAGCCTGCGTGGGGTGAAACGCCAGCGTCGAAACATCGCCAGCGTCGAACACAGTAAATTAACAAAGCATCAACAACGTGTAAGACATTTTTGGTTAGCGCTGTCTCAATGGAACGGGCAACACTTTCAATTCCTCTTTTGAGTGGGGTGCTCCAAACGATAATATGCTATGAAAATGGACCATTGCCCAAAACGTTACCAATTATATATAGTTACTTTGAAGTCAATGTTTTTTTAATGAATGTGTTCATGGGTGTTTTTGTTAATTATTATGTGTGCTTGTAGATCAGCAAACAATTTGTGTCAAATAATAATCCATAATACAGATTTTTTTTGGGGTTAGAGCGCGTAAATATATAAATGCGTCGTTAAACCTGCCAACACCCGACACAGCCAACTTGTAAGGGTTGTGCCAATTAGTTACAAGTACAGCACACCGGTGTGTTGGAGAGCCAAGCCACAACACACCGATGTGCTGTACTAGTAACGAATTGACATGTTCTGTTTACGTGATAACCCTCACTAATTGGCTGTGTCGGGTGGTGACGGTTTTAACGACCCATTCATATATTTACGCGATCTAACCCAAAAAAAAACCTGCATTATGGATGATATTGGTCGCGAAATCCCTACGTGCTAAACTCAAATAAAAATATGGACAAACTTTCAGCTCTCTTTAGAGGCGAGGCATGAGAGCATTCTACTGAACCTGCAAAGCGGTCAACGAATGACATGCTTGTTATGCTTGCAAGGCATGTTGAGATTCGTGCATTCCTGCATTCTGTGAACACATTGTTACATGTCGTTGTTTCTGTTTGTGTCCAGCCTGCAAGCATTTTCCCGTCTTTATGGCTTTTTTTAAGCGATGGATTTCAGACAATGTAAATGACAAATTTTAAAATGTCAGGAAGGGTCACGATTTCAATACTGCAGTACGTGGATCTATATAGCGTTCACATGTGATAACATTTCAAGACGCTTGTACGGGAACAGTGTGTATATGTATTTTGTAGAGGCAGTCAGTTATAGGCGGAGGCAATGGAGCCTGGACTTGACCACTCAGGGAGTCGACAGCACACGTGACAAGATTAAGGGAGTTCCAGGCTGTGGGGGCATCAGAGTTGATGGAGTGAGAGAGAGAGAGAATTAATCTTGTGGTGGATTTTCTTGGTATTTCTATGGTATCTACTATTTGTGTTTGCATATGTTATACAAACAGAACTGACCTTTTGTGAAAATGCATGCTACCTATATGCGCAGGAGCGGTAATGCAGTGGTTGATGGACAGTACTCTGAAGATGGCTACTGATTTTAAATATCGCCTATGGTTCACATCAGCCCAGAGTGGTAATTGAACCAGAGCCCTGAGCGCCCGTTGCCAACCTGCACTGGCCAAATCCACCCTATGATTATCCCAGCATTGGGAGGTCTTCATCCAGCAGTGGATTGACATTGTGCCGCAAAATATTTCAACTTTTTTGTCCCGATACGGAGCGATGAAATCAGCTCGTGCGGAGGATCTCGATGAGGGGTCGGCAACCAAAATAACAAGAAGAGAATTTGGTAACAAAAAAAAAACTCAATATTTCAATAGCCACAATGAGCTGTGGTGAATACGAGATGGTGGGAACGTTAATAAAAAACACGTCACTAAGCGGTCCTTAAAGAGGCGCACGCCGCTCCAGAGCTACAGGTTGCAGACCCCTGAACGAGACAGCAGACAGCTCTCGCTGCATCACAAGGCAGTGAGAGGTGGCAGTCAATAGATCGTGGTCGATGATGACGATGATATGGGGAATATATTTTGGAAATGCCATTTCTAAGGGAATTCCAGTCATCTCTGTGAGAAAATATAGAGGCAATCTCGAGACATAGAATCAACATTCAACGGCAATGCAGTCGTCCGCAGGAATATACATATATAACATTTACACCTGCAGCATTGTACAATTGACACATTGGAACAAACGGCAGGTGGTCACGCCAATTACAGCCATTTGCTTATTTTAAAAAAAATAAGTTCGTGCAGTGTTTTGCGATTTTTTTTTGTTATTCACTTTATTGCAAGATAGTAAAGACAATGTTTTTTTTTTTAAACACACAGGATCGTTGCATGAGCGGTCCTAATTAAATGTGTTCAGTGTTCTGTGTGGAACAAAGCCATTCTGCAACTCGACAGTACATTTTCCAAGTACATTTATCGCCCACACTGTCAATAACATAAACAGCATGGCCAGTCTGTTAATTTAGGTGACGTTTGTGTATTAAGTATAGTAAGCGAGTGCACGTGCGAGCGCAAATGTTTGTACGGGTGTATATGTATGCATGCTGAACGTCTTTTGCACCTTACGTGACCAACCGTGCTAATCGGAGGTGGTGCAATGGTGGGCCGCCATGGCACAATACACTCGGCAACCTCAGTTCGATTGCTGGCCACAGCTGACATCAATGGTAAGCGATATCAGAACCTGTCCCTGAGTTTTCCCAAGCGCAGTGTGCAAACATAAACAGCGGGGAGGAGGGGGGGGGGGCAAAGCAGCCCTGGCATGCTCTTCACACCACCCCACTCATGCACCATGCTCGCAAAATGGAACGCGCTCCAAAAGCCCATAAGGCTGTATATGAGATACGTGGGATCTATGTCTGTGAGTGAAATTTAATGACCAACATATCTCACAAGGGAATGGGTTTTTTTGTTCTTTAAGGGAAATGTCAGATCAGGACCAAAATGCTTTAGCGAACACGGAGAATGCCTGTGACAGCAGAGCCATATCCATCCTTGAGCATCGGGTTAGGCCACGTGGTGTTTGATTTAAAAAAATCACGATACTTTCAGAATGATGTTTACCAATTGCACCGTGCTGCTCACATTGAAGCCAAAATCACCTGCCATACAAAAGGGAAAATTCGATGCTTTCTCGAGCCCTTCAATTGTGTCCTCACAATAGAATACAGAGTATGAAGAAATATATACAGTTAGTTCACTGTGGCCATGATAATCTTTGTCACTCAGCCAATTATTTACTCTCTTAACAAATAAGCAATTGTATAGAAATACACACGAAATGTTTGACCAAAAATCCAATTATGGGCTTCCACAGGTTATTATGTGCAACAACAAAGACCAAACAATCTGATACAACAACCCATTCCTTCAATTCAAAGACCTCCCGGGACAAAAAAATAGCAATGCTGGATGAAGGCTTCCCCACTCCATATTTGGCCATGGGGTTGTTTTGCCATACATCACCAAACTGGTACATCGTGCGAGTTGGCCAAGTGGGGCAGTGGCGGAGGGAGTGGGGCATGCGGTGAATCCAGCAGTGTATCCGGTAACCTTGGCCACTGACGTTAGCTCTGGCTGGAAATTGAACACAGGAAGCTGGGTTCATAGCACATTGCGTTAACCTGGTTTCCATCCCATTTTATTGTTAATGATTTTTTTGCTGCGTTCTTATGTGTGCCGCCAAGATCATTATACAAGATCATTCTAAACTTTATTCAGGACACTTGAACCTGTTGGTGTGGAATCTTACAACACCCAAACATATATTTGTGAGTCACCATGATCCACACACGCACACACAACATCGACAGAAATAGCCGTGGTGTGAAAATGTTATTGTTTATGTCATAGCACGTGAATGTTGCTAATTGGAGGTTGTATTAAGAGTCCACCCATTTGGAGATGACCAGGTGGCTCAGATAGCAAATGTGTGAGCGCAATGATATTTTACAATGCTGGATTTCCAATATGGGTTTGGGATCAAATCCAGTTCTCGAGTGCGGTGAGTTTTATGGTCTCACCCCAGTCTCAACTGGTCGCACGCGATAAAACATTACCATCGATTAAGTTCTTCACTCGGATGGGCATATTTCAACTTTGAGAATGCGCACACGAAGAACACTGTTTGCATGACATGTTAAATGTTTTACTGAATTAAAGTGGTGACATACACTTCATCAATTCGAGCCTCCAGACATTTGAATCCGTGGCTCAGAGCCAGCCTATAATGAGGCACCTGCGAGCATCGTTTTTTGACGTTAACCATTTTTGGTTTTTTTCCGGCAATTAGTTTTGCAAATTAATTTAGCCTGCAATGTGTTTTTTTTTCTCTCATATTTTTGCCTGCGCTTAAGTACAGCATCGTTCCAGTCTGCTGTCGCATCCTGTGTTGAAGTTGTTGAAGACAAAGTGACGATATGGGGTTTATCCATTAGAATCGAATCAATCTCATTCCCAAGTTCACCATGTGAAGAGACCCCTTTGAGTAATTGTGACATCTTCCAGGGTCATTCTGTGGCACAATGAGGTGCACTGCTTGCTACAACTGTTTAAAATGGATTGTTTTAACATCTCATGGCACGATACAAACAGCACAATTGAAACATTTATTTGGAGAGAAAATAAAAAAGGAATACTGAATTGGTGTGTTGCTCTCTATGAGTAATTTTCACACGCGGAACAAAGTGTTATGGGGGGGGGGGGGGGGGTGGGGGGGGGAAACTGACAAAAAACTATTTGGCGAGTGAACACGAGCTGCAAATCTTCGTCTAGACTGTAACCCACAATTGCGAGGTGACAAACTGCTAGTTTTGGTGATCTTCCACAAAAATCGGCATTCTTTAAAATTTCGTTTAATCTAGGACGGCTCCTGCATACATATTCTCTAGACGCACCCACAACGGTGTGCCCGGTGTTAATAAAGCGATACAAATCTTGTCACACACAAACACAACTTCCGAATTACAAGATGCAATCTCACTTTTTGCTTTAAAACACAGGCCAAAAAGCGAGTCTTATAATCTAGAAGATACAGGAGCTATAATTGCCCAGGTATCTCTGGCCCAGCCATCGAACAAAGGTGGTCACTGCATCGCGCGCTTTCAGATGCGATTCTGCGGTCATCAGATTTGCTATCCTCTCCGATATTAGAAAGCCGCTGGAGCTATCCACTTTTAAATCTAGATTGAAATATTAATTTCTTGAGAACTGCTTTTCAG